CAGCTAATGCAGATGTCATATGATGATAAATACAAACAGAGGGACTGTTGTGGTGTCAGAATGAGAAGCTGATGCAGAAGGTTTTAATGCCTCTATATGACGCTAAAAACTGACGATGCTTTGAAACCAGTTTCTGCTTTTAGGGCATAAATATAAAACAAAAACAAAGTTTAAGACAAAAGATACAAAAAGAACCAGGTTAGTGAGACATGAAGTATTTTGCTTTTCTTTACTTTTTGCTTGCTTTCATTTATTTGAGAAGATATCCTATAATTCTAATATGCTGTACACAATATGCTTTTAATGTAACACCAACACTAATTCAGTCTTACAATCTAATTTGGTAAATACGTGACAAATTAAAGGAAAAGCTCAAATAAACGAGTGGCTGCAGAGGCTTTCACCGAAGTGCACAACTGAATTAACATTCGGTCGAGGTTTAAAGCATGCATTGGAAATGCTGGGTAGGTCCGTATCGATCGTGAGAGGAGAAGATCCCACAGATTAAATGGAAGACAAATAAATCGTAGCGCACAAAAGCTGCAAAACTGCTCCTGTTTTAATAGGAACAGTGAGCAAAGGAAGGTTTGCCTTTATGATGTGTGGACAAGTCATCAATAATCGTTTTGTGGTCATGTTCGGTGGCTGTGATGCTCGTGCATTAGTGTGAACAGTAAGGATCAACAGACCTCGAGGTGAAGGTTCATAAACCCGTCCTATTGGTGGCATTTTTGGGCGCACCTGTACTCTGACAGGGAAGGATCAAATCACTACATTAGTGGCGTCCGGTGATTCTTGGAACACACGAGATGGATTAACAGTATGAAAATGATGTGAGTCATATTTATGAAGTTACATTTGTTTTGTTCACGACCGCCGTTCATGTCGACTGAACTTTTTTACGATCACTTCGTTAGTTTCTTCCTGATGTTCGGTTCGACCGTGTTGTCTCGATGTGATATCGCAGTGTTCGACTGTGTCGTGGTGCACATCACACACAGAGCAACACAGTCAAATGACATAAAGACTACATGCAAAACAGAGCGCTCACAACACGAGACCGCAGAGGTAAAGCTGCACTGACAGACCGAAGTCACTGCTGGGCAGTTTTTCATCTTTTAGTTCATATGACAAAGTTTCAGCGTTCTTCGTTATATAACAATTTCAAATTTAGAATAAAAAGTTCTGTATAGAGAAGACTGAAACATTATATCAGACAGCTGCACTGAATTTATGCAGATCCCAGCCTGCCAACATATTGTGTCTAAGAGGGAATTTCGTCTTTTGCAGTTACCTTTGTTATCACTCGAATCACTTGAATGTCTCCAGAGCCAAACATATTTAATTACTTAACATTATAGGGCACCAAAAGTTAGCTGCATTCACTGAGTCATAGTGCTTTAACAGCATTATGAAAGAATTAAAAGTTCAACTTATGGGATAATATATTTAAATAAAATTTTGTATCCTTTAAAAAATATGCAGGATTACAGATTTCCTGCTACCGAGAAGGTCAAATACAAGGTCAGTGTAGAGGTGAAATAGAGGCTTCATTAGATTTATGATGATGCTTAATATATTCTACATTTCATTAAACTTGGATGAAGAGCAGAGAGGCCGTCTGAAAATGAGGAAGGTTTCTTCAGTCCATTCAGGCGACGGGGTAATTAACCCTGGATGTGCTCCCGATATGCAAGGGCACGTCAGCGTATGTTTGTCCCGAAGACGAAACAGCTAAGAGCGATGCAGTCACAGCTCGATTTGTGTGACCTTAACGTCTCATATGACGGTAAGGTGGGGCCATGACTCACAGACATGTGAGATGTGTTGGCTACGTTGGTTTCAGAAGCGCTTTGGCTGAACATCAGGATGCTTTGACAGGTAAGTAACTGTCAGGCACGATGTTTATGTGGGTGGGAAACAACCTTGTATGTGGAAGATTTGGTGAATCAAACCTGAGGAGGAGTGAAGCTGTTCTGAGCTAACATCTTTGTTTTCAGTTAAATTTCTTCACTGAGGCTTTATTATAATCCAAAACGACCCAATTAGACCATCTAAAGGCACTGTATGTGTGAGTCATTTGGTACCTGAATCTTTTTCTTTAATCAACCGCTGGTTGGTGATAGTTTCTGCATCATTAACCAACACAAATTCAACTTTTGAGGACATCTGACATTATTTTTCAGCCCATTTTCTTTTCATTTATCTATGCTTTGGACTGTAAAGCAGATTCTTTCAAACCAAGACCACAACCACCATCACCACCTCTGAAGTGACTCGGGCAGGTTAACTTTCCAGTTTTAAAAGCGTCTCTATATTGAGTGTAAATGTGGAAAGTCAGTGGACCAGATTTCCCTGAAGGGCTTATGAACCGGTGCTGTAACATTCTCAACAACTCTTATTTCTCCCTGTCACTGAAAAACATTGGAAGGTGGAGTTAGTGACAGCCTTACCTGTCGGGTGTTACACACAAAGTCTTTGTTTTCGTCACCCCACACCCTCTGAGCTGCCACCACGAACACCAACACCCGGAACACGAACACCATGGACAGCCAAATCCGCCCAAACGCCGTGGAGTACTTATTGACTCCGCTCAGCAGATTCTCCAATCCTGACCAGTTCATCGCTGTCGCTGCTGGACTGGCTTTGGAGATAAATGCCCTGTGAAGAAAAACAAAAATACAAGTTACCTTCCCTTAGATTTAGATTGCTAGCTTGCTAGCTTGCTATCGTTAAGGATCAGCTGCAATGTGGGTCACAGAAATACATGTCTGGGCTTGCATGAATTCATTCGTATCAGCCAAACAGGAAAGAGTACACATTTAGAAACACTGTAGGTTTGCACAACAGTACAACTGCTGATTCCTTTTAATGCCCAATAAATCATTATTTAGGCTTATTCATCTTATCTGGATCCTCACTAATGAAACTGCATGCTTCACTAACTGTAACAAAATGTAAACAGTTAAAATAAGATAAAATAAGGGCCATAAAATGAACAGCTGATGAATAAAACAAATCTACCGTTTGTTTACATTTGTCTACAAAATGTGACCACCACAATTTTATGTTAGTTTAAATTAGCTGTGACAGCTGACATCCTCTGAGATTGAAGCATTAAATCTGGACAAACGTGCCAAAAACCAGCCCCAGAAACAAGTCAGGCCCTGTGGACTTAGTTTAAAAACCCAAATTTAGAGCAGAAACAAGCACACTTAAGGCCAGCTCATTTTTTTTCTTTTCATAACAAATCTACAGGAGATTAACTTTTGTTTAACACACCCATTTACAGCGTATACAAGGCTTAAAGTTATGTATTATTGTGGGCGTGGTTCCCTTGGTTGACAGATGGGTGCCTGCACAAGTGGCTAACGCTCTTTATCTCATAATGGCGTTTGTCATATTGGTGCCTTTTGAAGCTGACAAGTCTGTGCTCCAGTTTTATTGGTTCTAGTTAGAGCTGGGCGATAGAACGATAACGATATGTATTGCGAAATAACTTTTTCTCGATAGA